TATTCCTTGTCCCTTTTTAATAATACAATCTGTGAAAGAATATATCAGAAAGGAAATTGGTCTTGCAGAAGACTCTAATAAACATCATGTGCATTATACGGAAACTGTTTATCTGGAACTGAAATAAATTATTAGCATAAGAGAAAATGTGACCACATCTTTGACCACATCTTTCATTTTCACCTTTGGTAGGCAAAAGCAATTAATTTTTTGTTTATACTTTCCTTATATCAAAATAAAAAAGAAATCTATCAGCATTTCCTAATAAAAACGTATGTGTTGGTTGTCAAAAGTTATTTGAGAGACCGATTCTGCATGTATACAAATTCAAGGCGTTTGTGTTTTGAACATTATTGACATTGAATTGTAACATGTCAAAAGCACATCATATAATTTTTAAACTTAATTGCTTCCAAACATATTTTGTTCTTTTTAAAAACACATGAAATGAGTGTTTCGCTTCAGTGCTATCATATTCTCTATGACTCTTTTCTTTTTAAAGAACTTTTTCAAAAGCTACATTTTAAATGATTCCTGCTGAGACATTATTCCTATGAAGTGCCACCTACCTGGTATTTTCTGGTTGTGTGGCAGGTGAAGTCTGCTGAATATGTGAATTTTGGCAAGAGACTGAGTACAGGGGAAAAAAACCCAACTACTATCACATGCATAGTGACACAATACATACAATATTGCAACTATCTCTTTCTGGATAAAGAAAAGTTGGTGAAGTGTGAGGAGAGACAATAGAAGATGGCAAATGAGGTAAAGTCTGACAAGCCTTAAAAACGGGCTTAAGAAGCAGGCAAGATTAAAACCAAAACAACACATAACAAAAACCCCATAGCATAGCAAAAAAACATCTAATCCCCAAAATCAGAATCTGCTGAAAAAGAGTCAGGGATAGTAAATAAATTAATCTTTTGGCGTGTGGTATCTATTTTTTTAATTTGATGCACTTAATGCTGCTGCTTCTCTCTAATACTTTCATTGAGAAAACACCACATTAACTAAGGAAAGGTATGGAGAGCCTTTTGCAAGCTCTTGCTTTCACTTGATTAGCTTCTGTTAACTTCATACATTCAGTCTCTTACCACTCTGAAGGGAAACTGGTATCATTCAAATGGAATTATTAGGCATGGATGTATTTTCTATTTTTATTTGTAGTTCATATATACTTCAGTTTTTAAGTGTCTTTTTCATTAGACCTATCCAGAAATCAACTGAATGTTATACTAACTATTGAGGTTTCAAAATGTATTTCTTAATCCCTTGAAATTAAATAAAAACTTCTCAAATAATTTTCAAAGTACTATGTCAGCTTCCACTGAAAATGGTAAATTTTGAGGCTTCTTCCTCCTTTTCCTCTCACTTCTTTCTGAAATTTATTGGAGTCTCCACCTCAGACTAAAGAAAACTTTTGCATTGAAAACACTGTTGAAATTGCAATATTTTGGTGGAATGATTCTGCTCTGATAAGGCACTTATACCAATTTAGGTAAATGTATTCCATCCTACCCTCCTTTTTCACACAGCAACACAGTTGATAGTTCCCCTGTATATCCAGTGCTCTTGACTTGCCATACATGGTAGCTTATTACATATTTCTTCTAGCTTCTGCTCTAACCCTTGCTAGAAGTTTCCTGTCAAATATTTAGACACATAAAATCAGTTTGGGTTCACTTTGCAGAAGTTATGTCAATCTGTAATCCATTGATGACTTATTCACCTCATTAAAAAAGAATGAATTTGGGTTCACTTTGAAAGAACATTTTGTTTGGGGTAAGGACTCAGTTTAACTTTGAATCTTAGTTTTCTTGTGTATCTGAAGGTGGATGTGGGTTTTGTTTGGTTTTTTTGTTTGGTTTGTGGGTTTTTTGTTGTTTTGTTTTTGCTTTTTGTGTTTTTTTTTTTTTTATATTTCATGCTGTGATATACTAATATAAGAACACAATTTTTTTCCTTGACATCAGGTTATCCATCTGTAACACAACTTCAAATGCAGTTTTATGGTCTTCTTTGTATGATTCTGGGATGCAGGTTGTATATTCTGTTGCACGTTTTGTCAGACACTATGTCTTTTATTGGCATGTCCTGTCATTTTGAGTACTGAAAGTCCTCCAAATATATTTCTGTGTCTATAAATTGTAACCACAGAAATGGTATGACAGATTTGGTTTCCAGCACTTTGATTCCCACTATTTGATGTTTACCAAGTTGTTTATGAGGAACTTTACAGCCATTGATATGTCTGTGGAGTATGTATCATGCAATGTATTTACTCACTTCATAAAAAATGGAAGTTCCTCATACAGACTGTGATGGATGCTAAAAGCTTACAGAGTCTCTAGGCAGTATAGTAAGTTTGTGGGAAAAAAAAGAAATTCCCTTTGACTTACTATGAAAAATGATGTGTGATTCATTAAGTTCCTGAGGCACAAATCCAAGGTGGGAGAGTATTCAGAAAGTATCACTCCATAACTGCCTTGTGTTTAGGTTTTTCTTAAGGTACGTGTTTTCTTCCAGTTTTGCAGATATGATACTGCTCTAGAGACAGCTTTGGTCTCACTGTAGTCAGTCTTACCTCTCATATTGTTATGAGCAGAGATATGTAAGAAGCCCTCTAGACTTTGAATGCAGTCCCCTGTCTTTTCTGGTAAAATGTTGACAACCTTTTTCAAAAACTCTGTTCCCACATCATGTTGAGTTTTCATCTTAAGTTCCCCCACATATTCCTTTGCAGAAACTGTGGGGGTGAATTATGTGAATTGCTCGAACCTATGGCATGGTGGTGAGATGCATGAACTAATTTATTCTAGCTAAAATCAGAGCTTTGAAAATCAATCCACAATACCTTTACTTATGATTTAATTATGTCCTTCTCTCTCTCATGACCAACTCTCCTCTCCTCTTATTTACCACCTGCTAGTCACTTAAAACTAACTGCCTGATTTTAATTGATTATGCTTTTACTTTGAGCACAACTTTTATTTATGTATTCCCTACTACTCTCCATCATTGCTCATAGCTGTTGCTTGGAGGTGTTTTTCAGCAGTTTCCAAGGTGCTGGAATTGCCCCTAGAGAATGCCTTTTGTACTTCATACTCTGTAATTTTTCACTTATGCAATTCATATGTTCTCCTCAGCTTCGCTTCTATTTGAATTTCCTTAACTCCAGGAAAATTTAAAAAAAAAAAAAAAGCACAGACTACAATTTTTCTCAGAAGGGTAAGTTGTGTAAATAAGTGATAGTCATATGTCACATATTTCCCTCAAAAAGCAAACTATGAAAATTTAAATGTTCCCTATGTTATAATAATAAATCAATTATTTCCTTAATAATTATATATGCAGCTATTTTTTCCTAAAAATAACTATAAAATGCATAAAAATTAAATTTTTTGTACATTTTTAAAAATTCTATTGTTTTAACTTTGTCCATTAAATGACACTTTTCTGACATTTGCTTATAGATAGTGATAACACCAGCCACACACATAATATATGACTTGCAACTGTCCTAAGAAAAAAACCCAATATGTGCAACTCTGTAGAAAAATACCAATCATGAGAACCCATTCAGGCTGGAAAAATACAGATATTACATTGTCAGCAATAATTCAGATAAAGGTCACATCAAAATCTCTGCTTGCCAAAACCAGCAATTTTTGAAAAACAACCTGGAATAGTTCACACATTTGAAACACAAAAAAGACACAAACTGGAGATTAAAATGTAGTATATACTGGGAAATACAGCAAATAATTTTGACAATGTAGTCCTTCCGAAAAACATCCCAACTCTAAAAGTCAACAAGAACAAAATGCTTCTGTAAGACCTTATAGAAGCAGCATTAAAAACTACAGACCAGAATAGAAAGTAAAATACATATTAAAACTCACACTAGATTTTTGTACAAGGATACTCAGTTTGATTCACTGATTTTTTTCCATTTTACAGCCACTTTTACTTTCTTTCACTTCAGTAGAAATACCCATTGGTTTCATTTGCCTTTCAATATCTGCACATTATTTTAATTGTCATTCATAGAACTATTCTGTGTATGGGTTAGCTGCTCAATTGCCAGATGAAGTACGATTCTATGGATCATTCCTGATACTTTGGAATCAAGAAAATACTGTGTGCAGCTATTGTTCATTAAAGCATTTAAACTGCATAGTTATATAAAGTGTTCTACACTACATTTTAAAAAATATTTTCATAGAAACTAAGTAGAATGAGCTGAGTGACCAGATGACAGACTGAGCATACAAAAATATAACAATTGGGATAATCATGAGCTACTTTCATAATTCATTCTATGTCAGATAAAGCATATATACTTTTAAGACATGTTAAAGAGTTACCTTTAAATAGAAGGTCTGTCCATCTATGTCCATTATGAATTACAGCATGTAACTCAATTTTTTTTAAGAAGTCTTAGCTTGTAGTTTTCAAAGTCGGTCAAAGTTATTCCAGCATCCTGAGAAGTACCTATGGATTTGCTGCACATAGAATGGAAATGTGGAAGAACAGAGAATCATAGAATGTTCTGTGTTGGAAGGGACTTTAAACATCATCTAGTTCAAATCATGGGCAGGGATACCTTTCATTGGATCATGTTGCTCAGAGCTCCATGCAACCTGGCCTTGAGCACTTCCAGGAATGGGGCATCCATAACCTCTCTGGGCAACCTGTTCCAGTGTCTCACCACCCTCACATCAATGAATATTTTTCTAATGTCTAATCTAAACCCACTCACTTTCAGTTTAAAGCCTTTCCTCATTGTCCTCTCTCTACATGCTCTTGCAAATAGTCTTTCTTCATCTTTCTTTTAGTCTCCTTTAGGTCCTGGAAGGCTGAAACAAAGTCACCTTGAAGCCTTCTATTCTCCAGGCTGAACAATCCTAATTCTCTCAACCTTTTCTCACAGGAGAGGTGTTTCATCCCTCTAATCATCTTGATGGCTTCCTCTGAACTCACTCTAACGGCCCACATCTTTCCTGTGCTGGGCACTCCAGAGTTGAATGCAGTACTCCAGGTGGGATATCACCAGAGTGGAGTAGAGAGGCAGAATCACCTCCCTCAACCTGCTGATCACACTCCTTTTGATGAAGCCCAAAAGACTGGCTTTCTGGGCTGCAACTGCACATTGCCAACTCATGTCCAGCCTCTTGTCCACCAACACCCCTAAGTCATTCTCAGAAGGGTTGCTTTTAATCTGTTCATCCCTTTAGCCTGGATTGACACAGGGGGCTGCCCCAACCTAGGTACAGCACCTTGCTCTTGGTCTTGTTAAACCTCTGAGGTTCCCATGGATCTGTTTCTTGAGCTTGTCCAGGTACCTCTGGATGGTATCCTGTCCTCCAGGTGTGTCAGCCACAGGAATCAGCTTGGTGTCATCAGCAAATTTCCCTCAGGACTCCAAATTCCAACAGTACATGATCCCTGTAGCCCAGGCTGCCTTCAGTTTTGATGTCCCCAATCTGCTTGCTTACATTGGTGACCATCAGATCCAGTAACACACTCCCTCTTGTAGGGTTCTCTACTACTTGGCTCATGAAATTATCTTTCATGCATTCCAGGACTCTCTTGGATTGGTACAGTTTATTGTGCTAATTTTCTGGCAGATGTCAGGGTGGGTGAAGTCCCCCAGCAGGACAAGAGCCTGTGAGCATGGTGCATCCCGCAGCTGGAGCAAGAAGTCTTCAGCAATAGGCTCCCTTTGTGTATTAAACTATGCAAGTCTGATGCATTGGGTTCTATACACTGTTCCTTATCAACCAAAGCTTTCTGAAATCAGTATAAGTAAGCATGCATTTTGTATGGAAATTTTAGATGTCATCATATTGGATACTTGTAAAGATGTCTTATTTGATTCTTTGACTTTAACTTTGAAATAACATGGAGTCTCTCTTTCTTGTAGAATCATAGAATAGTTTGGGTTTTCAGTCTATTTGAACCATAACCAAAAATGTTTTGTGTTGAAAAATTCCTTAATGTTACCTTAGAAACATCTTGACTATTTGGGGTTTGTTCTTGCAAAAGACATAAAGAAACATTGGTAAATTAGTATTAAAATCAGCTAAGGTTCTTCTCTAAAATCCAGAATTTGAAACAGTAAAAAATCAATCGCTGAGTGAGTTTATCTCAACTAGGATCATGTCTGACATGAAAAAAACCCATACCAATGAAAATTAAATTGATCCATATTGTAATACTAACCTCAATATGACATTAATTTAAGATGTCTTCTCTGATTTTGTTCATGTGTTTGACATTTATTCAGTAAAACTAAGAATTCTGCAATTAAGTTGGGTACATTAAAAAGGTTCATATATGTTTGTCTTTTATCCCATTCTTCTATATGTCTAGATATTACAGTATTCCATGCCATTACAGCAGATATATCTGCTGGAGAATTCTGTCAACTTATGAAATATTGGAACTTAACGTTAAATGTCAAATGTACAGATATATATCTCATTCTTTTTTTTTCCTAGAAAAGCAAATTTTACATTTTATAGATAAACCCTTCACTTTGATCACGGGGGAAGGCCTAGTTTCATAGACAACATTTAGTTTTCCTGATTTTTCACATCTATGAGTTTTGTAGATATGTCACAGGAACTTTTAATCAAATAACGTTATTTTAATACAGCAACCAGAACTGAAAGAGTTTTTGAAAAAAAGCCAGCGTATTTTGTAATGGCAGATGTGTCTCAGGATTCTGTTCCAGCTTGGAAGAATAGTTCCCAGAATCTGCATGTTGCGATTCCTAGCAGAGTACCAGAATCATCTCGTTATTCCACTTGCTGCTTTCAATTTTTAAAAATGAATTTGAAATTTATTTCCCATTGTGAGATTACATCAAAACTAAAAATGATACTTAAAAAAAAAAACAAACAGAAAACACAATCCCCTCCTTACTTTTTATCCTTTACCATTCGATTTATGAAGCGTCCCTCTGCTACAATATCTGGCTACATTTTGTGTTAATGGATATTTAACACAGGATTTCTTTTTGAATGTAAGGGAGTTGTTTAAGGTATACCTCTACTCTCTGGCCAATGAAGAAAGCTATCATCACAAAAAGGCAATTAATCTCATTTTTCTTATACCTTTACTTTAACTGGAAGAATAGGCAAGCTTACAGGCACACCACCTTTCTTTAACTGGCATACATATTTATTATGAGCAGATTCATTTGTAGATTGGAGTACAGCAGTATTTTAGGCCAAAGTCATGTTTCAAGGCTTAGTTAATTAATTAATTATTACAAAGCACTTTGAGAACCCTGGAGAGAAGACATTATAGAAGTATGTGATGTTATTTTAATAATTTTCCATTTCGCTGAGTGGAATGAATTACCTTAGAGCCCTCAGGGTCCTGGGCCTGATTAAGGACTGTTGACTGCATTACAGAAAATATGGTTTCCGCTTCCCTTCAGCTTGGCAGCCTTCCAACTTCCAACTGTCTGCTAGTAAAAAGAGAACTCTGTAGATTTTTATATATGAGTTTTGAAAGGTTAGAAAAAAGTTTTAGAAAAGTAGACATCAGCTAATTTCATCTAATCAGAATCCCTGAGAAGTTGCTATGGAGAGGAAAAGCTGTTTGAGTTTTAATGAAAACAGAGAAAACTGGAGCAAAACATTGTTTTCTGTGGAAAACCTTGAATTTCCAGCAACATACCCAAGGATCTTCTTACTTAACTGAAATGTAAAAAGAAAGCATAGAAAAATTAGAGACAAGGCCAGGAAAGATGAGAACACTATTATAGCATTACTAGGGACAGTAATGCTAATCAGACAGGACAAAGCTTATTTGGAACTAAAACTAGCTAGGGACTTAAAGGGTAACAGCTATGCCAGTAGTAAATGGATTCAGAAAATGTGGCTCCAATATCTGCAGAGAGAACAAGTATTTCTTTAAGTGTCACTTCAGGAGTGATGCCAGCCACAGTGAGGGAGCTTCAGACTGGGGACTATTCAGAACAGCAGTACCTCTTCAAATTCATCTGCTAGATGGGATTCACTTGGAAATTATGAAAGTGCTGGCTGGCAACAAGTTTTTTTTTCAATTTTTTTATGAAAATAATTTAATGACTGGGAGAGGTCAATGAAAAACAGAACATAGTTAATGCAATACATATTTCTTTAAAAAAGAGCAAGGACATGGGAAATTGTGACCAGTAAACCTCACCTCTGTCCCTAGACAGATCTTGAAGTAATGGAATCAGTCTGTTTCCTGAGATGTAAAGAACAGGACAGAAACCAGGAGCAGTCAATATGATTTTTTTCAAGGATGATGCTTATCCAGTCTTCTTGACTTTTGCAAAGAAATTGCTGTCTGTATGGATGAGGGGAGAGTGGTGACTGTGATACTGTTGGATGCTGGTAGGTCTTGTAACACCATTTCTCATTGCATTCTCATTTGGAAGCTGAGGTCTGGAACACAGCACTGTTTTGGGTGCTGAAAAACGGATGGATTGCTAAGCTCAAATGGTGGGAATCAATGAACTTGTGTTCTATTGGTTGCTGATAATAATATCAGGGACACATTGGGATCCATATTGTCAATTATTTTAATTGGTGATGAGAACAGTGACAGATCCATAGTAAATCTGCAGAAATAATAGAGCAAAATTATTAATTGACACAACAAAAGAATAATCTGCAGTTCTGAGGGACCTTGATAAATTTGACTAAGCAAGCACAAGACTTGAGAAGCTTTTCAAGAATAAAGGTCTGGATGCTGTACTGGATCTGAGTCCACTTTTCACTCTCTTTGCAAGTAAAGTGAACTACACACTGGACCTGCTTCAGGAGGAGCACAGTAAGGAAACTCAACAAACTTATTATAACCCTCTACCCTGTGCTAATAGGGTTGCATCTGGAATACTTATGTCCATTTTGAGAGCACCGTTAAGAAACTGGAATAGTGGATGTAATGGATTGCTATTGTGCAGGTCAAGGGTCTTGAGCAGATGACCTACAAGGAGAGGTTGAGGGAGTCACCCTTCTCTTTTTGAATAATGGATGTTAAGAGGTGGTCTAAGAGAAGGATGTAACTACTTGAATGGCACTTAAAGAGCTACATCCTTTCTAGGATATAAACTCTTTTGACAGTGGTAGACAATAAAGTAATAACAGTATGCCATTGCCTCTTAAGAAACTCCTTCACTATGAGGAATAGATTATCATAAAAAGTTGTGGGCTCTCCGTTCTTTGTTTTCCAGACAGACCTAGTCCAAATCTCTGCCTCTGTTACAAAAGTTTGCTTGTTTCTACTTTTGTCCATTCATGGGTCAGGCCTTGTCATTAGGAGTATTTTATGTACATGTGTCTACACAACAGTGATCTGTGTGCCTACCTGGAATACATGCTCAGCCTTGCTACTGGCTGGACCAGGGGCCATGGAGCTGCCACCACCTTGTCTCTGCTGGGCTACTGAATTCAGTGGCTCCTAGCACCTATGTCTGATTTACTCGAGTTCAAGATAAAACTATTTATTGTCCTCCAACCATGAGAATATCAGAGCTGTGACAGATAGCAGTTTCATTTATTTCTAATCATAAAGTAGAAAAAAACACTTTTAGCAAATCAAAAAAACAAACCTGATTTGTTTAAGTGAAATATTTTACACACATGGAAGTAAAAGGCTTTATTTTGATGTTAAGGAAGAAAAAGAAAAAAACAACTTTTCACAATTTCAATGTTTTGTACTTTTAAAATTCTTTAAAAATTATTCATATTAAAAATTAAGGTTTTATTTTCAAAGTATTCTGGTACTATGTATTTCTTGTATCCAAGGGAAAAAACCAACCCTCTCAGCTATAATCAAAGCAAACACAAAGTTAATTCAAAAGTAGGTTGATATTTGATGTCATAGAACCTACATTTTTATCAAAGGAAAAAATTCATAGTACTGCTAATCAGTGAAATACTACCATGATGGACTAGATCAGAATGGTAGGAAGAAAAGGTTTACGGAAAAAAAAATAGATTTTCAAAGTTGAAAATTATTAAGATTACAGTACAAGATCAAGTACATAGAAATAAACCTGTTCAAATGCTTTCTAAATTTACATGTTCTTAAAGGTTAGACTCTTGCCCCCTTTACCTTTTCCATCTTCTCTTTCCCTTTCCCTTCCCACTTCCCCTTCTATATCTCCTTCTCTTCCCTTTTTGCTTTCCCTTCACCTTTTTCTCCACTCCCTTTGCCCTTCAGCTTTTTATTTCTTTTCCCTTTCCCCTGCCACCTTCTTCTTCACTTTCTCCTTTCCTTTTCCTTTGTTTAAAGCTATGTTCCTTGTTTTACCATGGCTCTAGATATTCAGGTAAGTTGGCAACTTGACCCTAAATCTACCAGATTCATAAGAATGGTTCTACACTAACATTTTAGCTGGGCCCAGGGGGTGCTTTTGAAGCAAATCTCACATTTTTTCCCTACTTTCTCTGCTTTTGTTCTTGTCATGAAACTGTTTTGGAGTACATGAACAGAATTTAATTTTATGAAACAAACATAAAAAAATTAAAAACCTCCAAGATCACATCTAATTCACCAAATTACTGATGAGTATCCAGTCTACAGGATCAAACTAGAGCTGGTCTAAGATAACCATCTTAAAATGTACATAATCTAAGTTTCATGTCTCCAGTGCCAACTCTTTGTCTCTGCACATTCACTCTTATCAAATATTTTTTGCTAATGTAAGTAAAGGCCAAAACAAGCTCAGTCTAACTGGATTTCATCTTAGCTGTGTAAGTCACATTTTACCACACTTATGAAAGTTCTGTTTCACTATGTAGGCTCTTTGGAGTTGAATACTCATCAGTTTGCCCAGGACAGAATAAACCCAGGAGAGGGAATGAAGAAGAACCAGAAGCATCATTCTGCAGCATGGGTGGTCAGCTGCACAGGTGTCAAAGAGATGGTATCTTTGTAGGTATGAATGTCCCTCTGGGAGTGGGGTTGAAATGCTAAATCTGTTTTCCTTGTTTTCCTGTTGCTGATCATTGAGCAGTTAGATTTCAATATCCTTCTGGCAGGTCTGACTCTGCATGAGCTGAAATGATTGATTTCAGAGAAAAGGCCACAAGTGTTTTATTTAGATACGGCCCATTGCTTCATTTGCTAAAACTGCAGTTTGAAAAGCATCTAAATCCATGGTTCTAAGATTTTTAAAAGCTCTTTCATGAATCAATGCCAAACCAATTCAGGAAATGCAGGAAACAACAATTGAAAAAAAGGAATAATTAAAAAAATGGAACACTTTTGCTTCAGAGACCCTCTCTCCTTATGCTTAATGCCATAAGAAATAACAAAATAAATACGAGCTATTCTTAAAACTTCAAGTGTGATGAAAAATCGCATTATGAAACCAGCAATGTTATCTTATTAAAAGGCCAGGGAAGTAAAAATGTCCATTTAAAAATTCTCAAATAAAATCTGCAGTGAGGAGTCTCACAATACAAAAAACCCACCCTTTCTAATTGAGTTATTATATGAGTAAAACTTGTTATGTATTTTGGATCTGTCATTTCACAAGTCAAGCACAAGTAGAGTAGGAATACAAGAATTCATAACTTCTCCAAAACTATTTATATTCAGAAGTTGATATGATATAGGATGATATGATATGATATGATGGTATATGCATTTTTACTCAGACTGCTATGGACTCTTGACCTGGTTCTCTGAATTTCTCTTTTTTTTTTTTTTTTTTAGCATTTTTTGTATATTTGAATCCATTGTATTTTATATCAGGATTATCAATACACATATACTAAAGCAATGCAGCCAGTTTATTAAAAAAAATCATGAATTTATTTTTTTAGGTTTGAATTTTCTATGAGTATAGATAGAAATAATAATGTCCTTACACAATGTATGCATTATGTAAAATTTTTCTATCAGCAGTTCTTAGCATGTCTAAAATGGGAAATTGGTAACATATTCATTGCACTTATAGAGTAGTCATTATATTTTTTTTTTCAGAGATTCTCTCTTCAAAAGCTTCTGCTCTAACAATTTGACTAAACTTTATGAAAAATAATGATTTTGTGATGCAGAATCTTCTAAATTAATTGCCTTAATTTCTGCTTCAGATTTGAAGTTTTTACTTAATGGCAGTAAGTCGTTGACTTCACTGAAGTTCCTTTCTTTTTTCCCACCACAAGCTTTTTTGTTGTTTTTCCCTGTGTAATCTTTGTATATGTATGTGGAGGAAAAGGTTAATTTCCTTTGGTGTTCTCAGTTTAAGTGATGTTGAAACTGTTTTTTCAAAAACATTTCAAGACAAGAAAGAATTTTCTTTTATGAGTTATTATCTCCATGTAAGGCTTTATAGCATTGCAAACTGTCAAAAAAAGCGAAAACAAAAACTCATTAAGAAAAAGAAGTTTAGAATAAAGTTGTCATTCATAGTTTACATTATGAAACAGGAAAATATTCTTATAGCAGTCCCATTATTCATTTATTTAAATTTAAAACTTACTAACAAGAGAAACTGTTGAGTTTTCACTCAGAATCTGATCCTGAAGTTGATCAGTTCATTCATGCAGTAAAGTACGTTTAAAATGAGATCTCCAGAATAAAAAATCGTGGTAACATTTCTTAAATCCATTTTCTTTGAAAATTCTTTCATATTAATTTTAAAATAACCAGGAGATGAACACTCCTTCCACTTTAAATACATACTAGGACATGCATGAATTTTTTTATATAAAATCCTGAATTGAATTGAAAAAGTACCTTGAATTGTAATCTGAGAAGAAATTAATATTAAAAATTCATATTAAAAAAATGCCCTGAGAGTCTTACACTGGTAAATATTTTGGTTTTACAAAGCACGTGTTATTCTGTTCTCCTGGATGACTCCAACCCTCTCTCGCTTGTGCAAGGGGACAACAGTAAAACACAATTAGCAACTTCTAGGGAAAGACATTACTTTCATCATGGCAAAGCAGTGGTAGCTGTAAAATAATGATGTTGACAACTATGATTCTCACGTATTTTCTTTACACATTAAAGTTGGAATGTCAGTACATATTATTTCAGCATTTTACTCTTCATCCTGACAGGATATTTCACTTGGAATAGCACTGCTATTTCAGGTACAATAAAAAAGGCTTTCCAGTGAATTGAAAATACACTTACACTTTTTAGAAATAAATGGACTGTATATTTGTTCTTCATGGTAATCTTGAAGAGCTTTGCAATCAGCTGTCTTTTTTCAGCTGCCATCTGCATGTTCCTGAACTCATTCAGGATGTCATACAGCTCTGAATAGAAAGCTTCATAAGGTCATTTTCTGCCTTAGAGCTTTACACTTAAAAGATTTGGCATATCTGCAGTTGCAAAATGCAAAGCATTTCACCCAGAATAAATTTCCTGTCAAATGACAATTCATATCTGTGCAAAGCACAGTTTTTGTTTATGCGTCACAGGACTGATTATGTGTAGATCAACCGAAGTCTAGAAAGGTGTCTTAACTTTTCCTGGCAGTGACCAAGAGCAGACAGTTTGCAGTGAGAAAGCAGCTGGGAACCTGTGTGACAGAATATTTTTTAAATTTTAAATTCAGGAGCTGAATTTTAAATGTATTTTCCTTGCTTTATTATCTCAAACTCTCAGACGGTGGACCAGATTTGGAATAATTCTATGTTAAACTAGGACTT